CGCGTAAGAGAAACGGCGGCTCGGTACAACGCGAGACCGAGAGAGAGAGAATCGGCGCCTGGTCGATCGACAAATAGCACGCCGCTCGAGCAAACGTACCTACGAGGACGGATACGGTACGGAGTTTATGCTCAGAGCCGCCTAAAGGGACTTCGGGTCGATCAATACCCATTGTCAATAAGCGCCGATACCGGCGACGTTATTGAACGCGACAAATATCGAGGAATCGTCAACGCATGCAGGGTATTAGCCAGACGACATTTGAAGGCGCGACGGGAGTTCGGGTATTTTTCATATCAGCAATAAGTGGCCGACAACGCGGCTGTATCGGTTTATCGACGACGTTCGGAACAAGACGCGTCGACTTCGCGAGCGAGGACCGAACGAGCGGCCGACAAACGGTGGTTGGCACCTTGGAATTCTCGACGACTGGATCCCGAGCGATCCCCCCCGGTCTTTTATCGCGTCTCGCGAATTTGCACACCGCTCGCGAGGGAAATACGCGCGGGAGAACGCGGGAGAAGGCCGGATGACCCTCGAGCGTCTCGGCCGATCTCGCGGCAGCAAACTTTCGCTTCCCGATATCGTCGAGATTGAGTGCTAAGTTTGACAAGTTTCGCGTCGCGCGATTTCATCCGCGGACGCGAGATATCTGCATCGCTCGGATTCGGCTCGCGGACTGTGGCAAATCTTTTATCAGAGGGGCGTCTTTCCCCCTCCCCCGCCTCCCTCCCCGAGTTACTTCCGACCGTTCCCTTTGGCCAAGGGACGCAGCTGCGATAAAAAGAAGAAACTTTTGTCTTTTTGGATAAACGATAAAAATAATCGATTATTCAGAACGAGCGTCGTTCGGTCTTCCCGTCGCGAGGAAGACTCCGTTTTGATATTACTTCGTTATCGGGAGACACGCGGGATCGAGCTGTACGGTGAGTCTATCTTTACATCTCCGATACGCGCGCGGGCGAGCCGGCGGGATAAAAAGGCCTCATTTAAATAGGGCCTGACATTACTATTACGTCAGTTTTCCCCGATTGATTATTTTCCTACTTTACGCAATGACCTTTATTTGTTATCCTCACAACCGATATAAACACGAGCATCTACATCGCGCTTTATCTCTGTAATATTCCGCGCGTATGCATGCGAGTATATAAAATTGATGGAGTTTATTATAACCGCAAGTCAATTAACACGCGCACATGCTTTTCCTTTGATACTTGACTGCCGTAACAATTTGGCGCATCCATCAAGATTTCCCTCCTCCAGCAAATTTTTCAAGTATTAACGAGGCATGCAAATGATTAATCATTATGATGCACTTGCAATATGTGCGCGTGTGTGTGTGTGCGCGTGTATGTGTATGTGTACGCGTGGGCAGCTCCACTTTAGTCTATTTACACACTTCGTGCGGCTTTTATTCACGAGATACACCGAACATGCGCAACCGTCGTCCTTTCAAAAACCAGGAAGAGGAAGCTCAGCTCCCTAGACACGCGATCGATGAATAAAATACTTTACTTTAATCACTTTAAGGTCGAGAAAATGTCATGTCAAGGGGAAAGACCTTTCACTCTTATCCTATACCCACGGTATATACACACACACACACACACATTTACATGTATATAATATATACATGTTTATAGCGCGCCTGCTCGTCCTCGTCGATCAACTCAGCTCGCGACACAGTTTGCCGTTTAACCTTTAATCGAATAACGTGGAAATTAAACGCTCCTTAACACTCCACTGGTTAGGAAAATAAGTCGCAATAACAAGGTTAACCCTTTGCGACACCCGTTTCGCCTGCGAACTGATGCCGCGATATCGCAGACACCGTTGAGACACTCGATAAACGGGATCCATTTCTTCCGTTTAGTTATCTCAACTCTTACGCTCGTTAAACGACACTTTAAAATTAAACGCGTGCAATCCCGGGTCGAAATTTCGGGTCTACATTAATTCCCCGCAAGTTCCGCTCAACTTGAAAGACCAATAGAGAATATCGAGATATATCACTTTATACAAGCCATTGACTCATTTTGATACTGCAAATGATTACTCACTGATGATACTCCACCTGCATTGAATCTTTTCCTTAATTTCATCAAGTAATGTTTTAATCAAACAACTTAGCCATCAACATTATACGCACAATCTCGATAACTGAGGGATCACAACAATCAAAATATTACGCGTCTGGTTACTTCGAAGTCGATATTTTAATTTCTTAAATCAAAATTTCCAACGTCAATAAGAAATGATGATATATACAGTATCGAAGAAGTAACAATAGTCCGTACAATGTTACATCTTGAAATTCTTCTAGTTCTTTAACTAGTTTTTTAAGTTTGATAGGATTTGCAAAGTCACTGTAGAATCGAAATTCCCATGTGGGATAGAATGTGACAATTGAGAAACGTTGTAAAGAATAAAATGAAAAAATCGGGCGCGAAATTGATGTAGACACAATAAAGGAACTTTGCGATGGCGATTCTACAATACACGTTAGCAGCGTGCCGAAGAAGTAACTCCATTCGCGAAGACCGCGACATAGATAATATATAATAACATAGTTATTAGTATTAACTACGTTATTAATAACGTACCCGCGGCATAACGTAGTTATTGCACATAGATCCGTTTATGCCACACACACAGGTACATATATCATGTTATGATAATGTTACCGCGATATTACGTTGATAGAAAGTCATTTTCCGTTTTGCTCTTCTGCCGTTCTGCCGATGACAGCGGAAGAGTATACTGGGAAACCAGTTTGGTTAAATCAATCTGAAAATTAACTAAACGCGTTTTGATTGAAGGAAACAGAATTTCTGGTTATAAGATGTAAATTTGGAATTTCCAAATTGATTTCTCAATGTAGTCTTCCGGTTATCAGTACGTTTCAAAACGCGTCGTTCGACAAAATCGCGCAAAACAGTCGCATTTGCGCGGGATCATACTGGTTTCATAAGATAAAACCTAGTTAATTGAGATTGTGATGTTAGGTTACAAAGCGTCTCTCTCTCTTTCTCTCTCTCTCTCTTTCTCTCGTGTGTGATCTCTAAGCAAATTTACACCAGATGGTATCTAAGTACGTAAACACTAGGGTAGTATTTATGCAAGCATGGAGAATATCATTCTCAGAGAGCCCTTTGTGAAGCTAAACTTGGGTCGTACTAAACAAAAGGCGAAGTCTAGAGTAGCTGACATTACTATCATCCAATGACTTCGTTGCGTTACGTCAGATTGCGAGGAGTTCCAGTTTCTCGACGTAATAACGAAGAGTTAATTAATGGTAACAAATGGTAAACAGTCAATGGAATAAAATGACAAACTCAGGGCAGCTACTCCGGATCGAACCGATCGAACGGCGGGTGACACGTTTTCCGGCGGGTGAAATTTGTTTGGGAAAGCCACGAAATCCGTATGGAAAAGTTGAGCTTCCGTTGTCGACCGGTATTTTTGCGACCGATAGTTTTATAACGCGCCAATTGAATCGCGCCATTGATAAACTTACGGAGTTTCGAAGCTCAGATCTACCCGTGGGATAAACACGAATTCATAAAAGCACCGACGTTAGCAACGCGGAAATATCGATAGGACGAAAAATGGCAATATAATTTCTCGTGATTCGATGTGAAGCGAAAAATATGAAAATAGCGCAAAAGTGCATTATGGACGAGTGAAATTGAATTTTCGTCGATGCGCGGCACACATCGTACGTGATATACAACGATGAAAATATAAACACAAATTATAATACCATCGGCTGTCACACAAAGTCGTTCCGACCCGAGCGATTATAGATAAATGCATACACTTTTCGCAATTAATTGCCCTTTCCACATTTTCAGCAATTTCGCCGCGTAATGGTTTCCGTAATGGGCGTTTACATAAATAGAGAAGTTCAAAAGATGCGAGCGGCACAATTATCGCAAGCTATTTAACGTTAAACGGTCTGCGCGAATTAGAATGTCAAAGGTACATATAAATAACAGGATTTACTTATTTTCCAATTAATCGCGGGTAGAGCCTTCCCACGTCGGCGAAAGTTCCATTTCGAAACTCAATTTCCGACGTTGAAGACAAATGCTTCGAATCAGCTCGCGTCTTGGGAATACGTCGACTTCGAACTATTCGCGGAACATGAAATTCCGTTGCGGGTTTACCGTACCGCTTTTCCTTTCTCTTTTTTCCTTTCTCTGTTTTCTGCTTTTTTTTTGCTTTTCACTTTTTTTTTCGGTCCGGATACCATCTGCCATCTCGAAGAAACGGCGGAATGTGGGTTACGCCAGTCACGTTGTAATTTGTTGCGGCGGTGGCCCGTCGTAAAACGCGCCCCGTCGCTATTCTAAGAAATAGGACTTTAATATACGCGTTAAAGTTCGAAAACTGTCCGGGGCGATGTGCATCCAGCGGAAAATATCCGGCGCGCTGCGCGCCGCACACGATAGACCTCGGCGGGTATACACGCCCCGTGTAAAGCAACGCTCGCGAGAAGGTGGAATATTAATGAGCGCGAGAGGGTGGAATCGCTGCTGGAAGCGCCGGAAAACGTTTCGTTCCCGGAAGCGGAAGAGTGTGTACGCGAAAATAGAGTATCCGATCCGCTCGGCGAGCAGATTTGAATCGTGTTATTTCCACAAATAAACATACCATTTTTTTCTCTCCCCCCTTTTTCCTCCGCCTCCCATTTTTGCAAACTCGCTCGGAGAAACGTAAGCGGAAAAATACATTTCCGCACGGCACAGCGTGCGAAGGAAGATAAGAGTCCTGAGTTCCTCCGGGCCAGCGTATGCTGCGGAGAGGCTTGGATGCGCATCCCCCCTGCCGATTAAAAGATGATCCGGTTTCTTTCAACGAGTCCCCCACTGACTGAAAGGAGGACGCTCGGTTGGTCCGGGATGCCCCGTACGACGGGAGCCTTTTTCGTACACCGAATGGAAAGGGACAAAATTGCGATCGATAAGAGATAGAGAGGAAGATACTCGACGTACCTATGTCCATCAGGTGCAGTTCGCCGAGATGTCGCATGGCGTAAAGGCGAAGCAGTCCGAATGCAAGCTGCATCCCGGTGGTAAGCAACAGGGCGAGGAAACCGGCTGCGCACACCAACCAGCCCCATCCGCCCTCCGGATAGAAATGCGTTCGCATACCGGCGACGTCTATGCCTGATAAAAAAGGATTATCCTTCCTCGCAATATATAACGGAGCTAAGTCGCGAAGTATCGTATCTCGATGCGTCCGATAATGGAATATCTCTCTCGACGGGCGCGAACTTTTAGTATCTCGCCGTCCGTTCACGCGCGAGTTTTGCCACATTTTCGATGCGCGAACGAAAACTCGGTAGGGCAAACTGGGTCGCTTCGATCGACGTATTTCGATCGAAATCCCGGCTGGAAAAGTCCCACTCGTATTCTTCGCGCGGGAGTAACTCAACGACTATTCGCGTGAAATTATTTGTACGCCTGTTTTGATCGCGAGAGGCGCGTTATTTTAACGATTCATTCGGATAATTTTGCCGAGACAACGCGCAATAAAGAACAATAACGAGATGATTCGATCTTTCTCGTGAATTATCGTCGTTATTATGTGTATATATGTGCTGAATATTCAAGCTACGTTTGCATCGTATGTGTATGGGATATTCAAATTGCGAGATTTCATAAAAAGGGAGAGGCAGGGTACCTGTGCGACGGAGAGCGGGCACGCAACGATGCAGACTGCGTAGGTCGCCGAGAACCCAGTTCGTATTACCGCCCATACTTTCGTCGGCGTCCATGTAACGCAGACGGGTGTCTGGAAAAAGCAAAGAGAAGAAGCGCGGAGGGTTCGTAATTAATAGTACGATACTTTCCGCGGTTGCTTAAAGTAGTAATTTTTGCGTGCGGGATTAAACGGGGAGCGAATCGTCTTGAAGGGGAAATGCGCCGAAGAACCTCGCGAACGGTTCTTATTGAAGGTCTTCGCCGCTGTTGCACGGTCGCGAAGGATATTTCAACATCTCTGGTTGAAACGCTTAATTCTCGAAACGCTCCCCCTTACGGACCCATCGAATTTTGCAGACCCGCGATGCTGCCGGGTTTTCGCGTCGACGATCCGTTGCGGTTGGCAACGGCGTTTACACGAGACAGGCTACGGGATGGGCAAGAAACGGGTTGAAAGAAACGACGTGGAGGAAGGAAGGAAGCGGGGGCGGAGGTTAAATGCACTTTTGAAAGGACGAAAGGTTGAAGGGTAACGGCGCCAAAGGGCAGGCGCGAAAGGACGGGAGAGGCCTGATGATCCGCCGACGAAGCACGGTGGAGGGACATCGCGGTTTCACCGCGCGCGAAAATCATCGATTCGTTCCCGCTCGCTTTTACGCTCGCGGGAGAACCGAAGCTGCTAACTGAATTATGGGCGACGCGTGCGCGACTACCGCGCTGCTCGCAGCATCGCGCAAAATATAAACTTTTCCATTAGCGGCGTTAAACGTTAAACACCCGCGGGTTTCATCATATGCATGCCGCGACAAAGATCGAATTTCGAGCGCAACGGGTTGTCGTATATAAAATTGATGCGCAGCCCGTACGATCTCGCTGGGTCTCGAATCGACGTCGACGGAATTTTTGCTCCGTGTTCTAATCGAATTTTCGGTTCTCCGTAAAAAAAGCGCCGCGAACGAAGAGTTCACAGTGGGGTTCATAGTCCGGGGATTCATAGTCGAATCCTCGACATTTCTGTGTACTCCGTGTCGTTGCTTCCTATCGACTAATTTTCCTGTACCACGAAGTATTTCGTACGCGAGACGCCGTTGCCAAGATCGCAGCATTCGCGTCAGAATATTGCGTTTTCTAATTTATTCGCGGCTGACCCTTCCGTATTACACGCGACAATCCGAGTACATTGTGACGCATAGTCGTATGTTACCGTGTATGTGCCGTTGCGTCGGTGCAGGCAAAATTATATTTGCCGGTGTAATTTAATTCCTCGCGACTAACATGCCCGTAAGTGGATAAGTTCCTACGCGAGCTCTGTTGCTCATTAACGTTCGGTGCGTAAAACCGTTTGGAGAAGATTATTTGTACGTCGCCGTCGCCCTCGTCGTTATCCTCGTCGTCGTCGTCGCGCTTTTGGGAAGGGGGCAAATTAGCGGCGGCGACAAAATATTCTTCATTACCCGGAGCGTAACGGAACGAGGAAAGGAGCGAGGAACACGCGCTCTCGGCGGGCTCCAACGCGGCGAGGAGGAAAAAAGACGGCAGGTATTTTGCCGAAAATGACGCGGGACGTAGAAATTGTCGGCGGAACGGCTCAGCTCGGGGGCGAAATTGCCGCGGGACAAGTTACGAGGACGCGTGTTGGAAAAACTGCGGCACGTTTTCGCGTCTCCGACGAACGTGTCGCGTCCTTAACGGAATCACGGTCGCGTTTCCGCGGAATGATCTCCAACGACTGTGTAAAATATCACGTCGAACACGTCGGAAATGCACGTGGAGACGCGCACGAACGCGCAAGAACCTTCGACGCAAATAACGAGGCTCGCGTGAGTGCTTTCATTTCCGGAGATCCTCAACGTCTCTCCAGCATCGAACTTTGAGAATCTTCACTTCGCTCTACCATCGTCATATGCGGTCTCTCTCTCTCTCTCTTTTTTTCTTACGTCGTTCACTATACACTATACACTATACACTTCTTATCGTTCATGCTCATCGATAGGATGGATAAAAGAATATCGAACTTTTCCTCGTTGCTCATTACGACAATCGCGCAGCGGCGGGTTCTCTCGAACAAAAGCAGCAAGGTAAAGATACAATTCCAATTCGCGGCTGCCGCCGGGCCACTCGGATTCGCCTCCGTCTGTCCGTGAGGTTTGAAAAACCGACGGCGACCTACATTTTTGATAGACGCGACGATACAACGGACTCGAAATTTCAAAGCACCCCCTCTTCGGCGGATACCCCGTTAAGTGGGATTGATTCTTATTCTATCCGTTGTAACCTTCTTCATCTCGTCCAACTTTTCCGTCTTTCGTCTCGGCATCTGCGTCGTAAAAAAGACAATATGCGCACCGAGAAAAAAGTAGTCAAGTCAACGAAATTTTGCTTAAATGAACGCAATCTTTTCGAACACAATGTTTAGCCCGTTGAACAAATTATATAATTCCTGTAATGAACTGTCGGTTGATTCAACTATTGCGATTTGGTCAGCAACTACATCGACGCAACATATTGTTGCGCCAACGTAATTGGTTCAGCGGGCATTAAATTGTTTTTGATCGTCGATTTCGTAGACCCAATATCGCTTTTTCCTCAGCGAAAACAGCAGCTTTAGTTGCGAATCTTAGGATTATATCGTTCCGCGAGGTCGATGTACTCTCTGAGCGTGAATCTACGTGTACCTACAGAGAAAATTCAACTAAATAATTCGGCGGAACCAATTCAAGCGCTTCCCGCGTAGGTTAATTGACGAAACGTTTTCTAACGATATCTTACGAAAGGATTTCGCGGTCCAATTTCTGCTATTATCTCGTGGCGAATTTTCATAGCAAATTAAGCACACTCAGCGTGACGATGTTACCTTAAACCGCGTGTCAGACCCGCCATGTTTTAATTCCAATTAATTTGGATTAATTCGACTCGTTCAATTAGAATCCGTTTAATTAAACGTCCACATATCAGTACAAGTTCAACGTGATCCTTTATAAATGAAATGGTTACGGTATATCCTCGTGACATCGTATTACATTAATACACGCGTAGGAAGAGAGGCAGAGAGAGAGAGAGAAAGAGAGAGAGAGAGAGAGAGTAGGTCAGAGTTATCCATTCGGTTACCAAACTTTCGAGCAAACGTGCGAATAAATGATGCACGCGGAACGTCAGTGATGCGCGACGGCGTAAGATATATTCCTTTGAGCGCGAAGTTTCCTCGGGAAGGACAAAAAGGGGGAGTTGCATAATTCAACATGTGTAAAACAGTAATTTCTTAATTACTTAATTAATTGAAATATGCAGGATGTATCAAGCGATACATCCGACGTTTAACCGTGAAATAGCGAAAGCCAGGAAGCACGGTGCGGTGCATAACCCCGAAAACATCCTGCCGTTACGGTCCGGTATCAAGGATATAGTTGACGTTATATTTGGCGCACGCTTTGTACTAACTGAAAAGTAAACTCACCGCCGTGATATGAACTCCCACGGTGCGGCGTATACGTGCCATTCTGACCCTCCATACAATGAGCCGGCGTGTAGTACTGCATAGGGTGTTGCATGTAATTATTGGGGGTGCTGGGGACATGTACCGGATGACAATGTATACATCTTCGCGGTGTCTCGGGCGGAGCCTGCAAGCAAGATAAATTTTCATCGCTCTTGAAAGACAGAGAGAGAGAGAGAGAAGAGCAGGAAACACGATGTAGCGAATTCGTGTAGACAATCACCCGTGTTCATTATTATTGCCACGAAATATTGCTCCGTGCTGACGTAGCTACGTAATATCGCGCGATGCTTGGTTGTCACCAAGCACTAATATAATTCGACCGTGTACCACGTATACGGCTAAACACTAGCAGTGTTTCAACGCTAGCGGGAAGCACTTTTCTAAAAGATTCGTCAGGTTCGCACAGTCGTCATCGTTCCCTTCATTTTTTATCGGTGTGTTTTTTATACACGCGAAAAGGATGAAATCACAAGCAAGAAAAAGAGATTGCCTCGGTAATTAGTCATAATATATGGACACTTAAAACTTTAGCAGCGTAAACAATTTTATTAATTGTTGCAGCAGCAAACTCCTTCGTTGCTGCGGAAAACGTATTATGGTAAGTGATTTACCAGCAAGAGCGTTTGCTGCTACAAAAATTAAAAATGCTTAAGTTGCGAAAGTTTTTCGGCGTCCATAAGTTACAACAAATTTTGCTACTGCTGCTAATCTTCGTTTTTCTTTCCGTGCAACTTCGATTAATTGAAGATATCAAGTGTACCGAGATTCATGAGGAAGCGAATTGATGTCAAGCACGAAAGCAAAATTTCAAATTCCAACTATACCTTACGCGTTGTTGATATAAATGTCGATGCTGTTATAGTGAATCGAGATGAAATCGCGATCAAAGGTAAAAACATTTTCATCTCTTTTTCTCTCGTTTCTAAAATCTCTCGGTTGATATTAATTCGACCGTTCACGTTTATTTAATCATACGCGACCCTCTCTCTGCCATTTCGATAAACAATTATAAAATATCGATACGTAAATTCGTTCGCGAATTAGCCCGATATCCCACGATTGTATCGCGGGGCAACGATAGAGCGGACCGCCGGACTTTCATTTTGCTCACCTGCATAGAATGTTGCGAGCGCAACGATCTTATCGAACCGGTCGGGTGCAACGACGGCACGCTGCCACCAAAGCTCATGGCTGAGTTTCTGCATCCTCCCGGGGTGGACCAACCCCCGCGCACGCTAGCCGTAGTCCACCCCAGTCCGCTTCCACAGTCATCCACGAGCATCTTCCTCAGAGCAGGACGTGCCGCATTTTACGCTTCGGACCCCTCCGATGTCAACGATCGCCTCGATTTGCGGCCCGATGGCGTCCTCTTATTCACGTCACGCTGCGCGCACGTCGAAAGTACGATGAAAATTAAATTACATCTTTTTTGCTTGGGGTGTCACGGGCAGAATTACGCTCCGGTCCGTCGACTCGATTTGGCCGGACGACGTTAGACGACGACGAATCCCGTCGAATACGCCGAACTCTCAACACGGTCCGTCGAAGGTGCCTTCGGAATTTCGAGCATGTTCCCCGTCGCAATCTGCAAGCAAAGAAGCACACACACACACACATACACACATGTATACCGACTTTTTGCATAATTAAAATTCTCATAAAAATTACACGTGGAAATTATTCTGCACATTATTATTATTATTCTCTATTTTAATTAAACGCGCGTAATTTAATATTCGGGCAACAATGTTTTACGAACAATACGTATGCATGATGTTAGGACGGTATAAAACTCGGTGTATTTTTCGGTGAAACAACAAATGAGATCTTTATCGTTTGATTAGCATTTGCGTATAGCACATAAATAATGCATTTTCGCATCACATTAGCTATACTGTGCTAACAACACTTAATTAATTATGTGTTCGAAATTAATTATAGATCCCGCGAGTGAAATTGTGAAATAAGCACCCGGACGCGGCCGCCGTTAAAGCGACCCATAATAACTTTTGTATTACACGGCTAACAGAGATCATTAAAGCGTCATTAAATTTAACGATCGCGACATCATGCAACAAAACACACCGAGTGGAAAAACAAACCGCCGCACTAACGAGCGCGATGCATTAGATATCAGAAGCGTGTATCGCCCAGTAGAATTTATTCGAATCAGTACGATTTGTATATCGAGATTTATAGTGTGGATGTTTTATATATGTACTCATCCGAGAGAAAAGTCGACGATGATAAAATTGATATCGGATGCATATCGGGCGTGCACGCGCAAGTTATTTTGCTTAGAGTTATTGGCATATACGCTGAAAACACATTTCATCTCGCCCGTTCGAATTCAATTAATTTGCGACCGTTTCGCAATTTCAACTAACGACGATTCCTGCGTTACCAGCGAAAGTGCCTTTTCTCCACCGCGAAAAATAATCGCGATGTGGTTGAAGTTTGGAGCGATCTTCAAGTTAAAATTAAAAATTTATTTTTTCAAGTTTAAGTTCAGTACAAAAAAAATATGCTAAAAATCATAAAATTGTACAAAATGTGCCAATATCAACATAAATAAACAAGAAAAATGAAAAAGATTGCGCACGTGCCAAAATTAATATAAATTAAAATTCCTGCTAAGAGTCCCGGTGGCTTGTGCAAACAAATAACAGTACTTTTACACTCTACAGAACGATAAACGTTAGAAAAAAATAGTTTGTCGAAAACAAATGTTCGGAAGGTCTCCCCATAATCGACGAAGTTCAAGTGCGTGAACTCAGCAATATCAAAAAATTTCTGCCGACAATCTCAGACTTCTGTGCAAGAGAAGGATAATATTTTGTCAATTATGGAGTTCTTCCGAGCACTCGACAAACCATTTTTTTTCTAACATTTATACATTCCATGGAGTGTAAAACTACTGTCATTTGTTTGTCACCGGGAAGTCTCTAAGGAGGAATTTCAATTTGTGTGAATGTTCACGTGCGCGGTCTTTCCAGTTGAACGGTAAGCTCTAATGATGAACCAATTCTTAATTTTCTAGTGTAGGACATTCGTTAAAGTATAAACATATTGTCCCTTGCTTGCATAAAGCGCTGAGATCGTCGGCGGACATTTTTATCTTTGTAGTTGAGTGCGCGCGGCTTGAACTTTGTCGATTCTGGAGATCTTCCGGGTACTCGTTTCCAACAATTTTTTTTCTAACGTGTAATGTTCCACGGAGTATAAAACTACTGTCCCTTTTTTGCATAAGCCTCGGAGCTTTTAGCAGGAATTTTAATTTTAGCGAATGTTCACGCAAGCGCAGTCTTTTCCGTTTTCCCTGTTTATTTATGTTAATACTGACATATTTTGCACAATTTTATTGTTTTTTGCATATCTTTATTTTTTTATTAAGGTTAAACGCGAGGAGAAATTTTTTTAATTCTCGCTCGAAGATCGCTTCAAACTTCATCCATATCCTTCGTGCATTAATTCTTTGTTACACAGTATCCCTTTGAGGAGGACACCTTTCTCGCCGCAATTTTTATGTTTTTATGTATTTCGTAATTGATTTGTGTTACATACTTAGTATCGTTACGTTCCTAAGACTTGTATGTACACATAAATAACACAAATATGTAATTATTTTGCATTAATAATAAATTATAAAAAAAAGGATAAGTTAAAATTAACACTTTTTTTTATAAAAAATTCATGTTGGGATGAAAATGATAATGAAAATACCTTTAAAATCTCTATATTAATGTTTTCGAGGTCGCTGCTTTCAAATCTGCATTCATAATTGGCGAATTTTAAATGGCAGATCCAAAATGGAATCCAGAATGATTATCAAGACAAATGTTGAATTCTGATTTTAATGAAACTTTACATACACATAAGTCAAGCAAATAAATAAATTTATAAATTATTGAGACGAAGAAATGGTTTGAAGGGATGAAATAACTGGTTATATATGAAACGGATTTGGTTTCTTTTTTTCTTATATTTCAAAAATTACTCGAGATATTAGAAAACGTTTTATATAAAAGTTTTATAATAAAAATATTTCTACTTAACAATGTTAGCAACATTAAAAAAAATAATTATTTTAAAAAATTCGCTATATTGAATCTGCCATTTTGATTTTTTTAAATTTTGACTTCAGATTTGTAATCAGCGACCCCAGAAATTCCGATATACAAATCAAAATTTATCAAAATATATTCAACAGAAAAATTTGTGCAACAAAGGGTTAAACCAGCATCGCAAGATCGTGATGTTCCGAAGAAGAGTTCGTTATTTGTAGGATTTACCGATCAAAAATCGATACAACTCGGATCGATGCAAGTTTGAAGGACTGGAAATGATGTCGCGACGAAAATTCGGGAAATGCGATTGGAATATCAAAGCGCTCAGCGTCCGTGCCGAAATTCCGCAGAATTCCGTCGTACGAGCGTTCACCTGGCCGAAAGTGTTCACAACCCGCGAGGAAGAACTCTAGTCGATCGATCGGGAGGATTAAAATCTTCTCGATATATGCGACGGCAATTTCGAGCCGGCAATGCGGCGTTGCATTGATATTCACGCGTCGCCCTACAAGCTCGCCTGTTTTCGAAAGGTCCGCCGCAATTTTATGCATGCACAGTGCAATAACAGTGTCACTGCGCCCTCGTTAATTATAATATCGCCCGCAATCTGGCGCGTCGTTCTCGCATTTAACGAGTGCCATTACGAGTCGTTACTTTTTTAAATTACTTTAAGCTTACAAGCATCGGTGTCCGTGACATGGAGTAACTTTTTCCCTGCGACTCTCTAAGAGAGCCCGAGTATCGAAAATAAGCGATAACGTCTCCCGACGCTCGCGGTATTAGACTATCAGCCGCGTGCGCTGTCCAACGTAACGACCGGGCCGCCATCCGGTTGGCGTTGCAATTTTTATCCCCCGGGATTTACGTGCTCCACCGTTCAGTCGCTGATCCTTCGGCTACGCCGAGCTGTGGGTATCGTAACCGTGCGCGACGTATAGTGAAGTCTCAAGCGACAAGAATAACAGCACTGAAAACAAACGGCAGATTTGTATTCGCCGCTGGCGCGCACGGCACCGTATCTGACGTTATATTGTCGCGAACGTCGCCGCAAAGGACGAGCATTTTCGTGACGCGCGACCCTAAGAACGCCGCGGGATCTCCTCGTAAATCCTGCCGCGGAGCGCTTTTTAATCTGCCCGACTAAACGGATGAAAAGCACGGGAAACGCGCATGTTGCCGGCAACAACCGGCCATTTGTTCATCCTTGCAAAAAGGCCGCGGGCGGGCGTCGCGAGTGTTCCCGATAACCCATAAAACTGCACTTTTCGACGTAATCTTAAAGTATTCCCTCTCGACTCTCGCGAATAATTTTTAAGCGCGCTGCGCTCCTATACGTATCCGCGTTCTTTCTCACGGATGAATTTTTCGCGTTCCTCCACCCCTCCCCCCCCCTCGCGAGAATTACTGCGAGTTGCTTTCGCGAAAAATTAGATCGGGCGGGAGCGTTATTTTTGCGTTAACGATTACACGACAAACGCGCGTATAATCCTACTCGGAAGGAAATTTTGCTCGACGCAAGTCAAACATAAATTCAAATCGAGTTGATGTATTGATTTCCGCTAAACGAGTGAACTTCAAAAATAGCTTTCAGAACGGATTCCCGTACCGCTGATACAAGCTGTATTTCAGACTTCTGCTATATTTTCCATCGCGATCGATGGTTATTGTACATTTATTGTTGTTATCCGCCCTACAAATGTTGCCCGCGTGTGTGTGTTCACGAACCGACCGAATTTTACCATTCCTCAAAGTCGAATTAAATCTACAATGCAACGTGGCGAACAAAAACAAGTTTTTTTCCCACACACGCGCCATTTCGAACCGATAATTAATTTCCCCGCTGTTCTTTGTTCCTTCGATCCCGCCATTATTGTTCCGAAGGAACACCATTTTCCGTCTCTGATTCCGCGAATTTTCGCAAGTCGAGAAGTTAATACTGCGCGTAGTTTCACGCAACAGCCCAATTAACAAGTTTGAAAAGATTAATGGTCTTTCATTGCCGCGGGACGATGTAACGAATAAAATAAATGTGGAACGCGCGAAAAGCGTATAATGAATTACAGCGTATCCTCAGTGATTATTAACGCGCGCGCGAGGCAACAATGACCGAGTCCTCGTTATACACGAGGATATATATTTAAGGATTTTCCAGCAGCGAGTCGAAGGGTGACCTTCTGTTAATGCAATTCGCGTATGTAGGGGGACTAATATTGAATAACACTGTAATTAGTGGCAAATGAGCGCGTGCAAAAGCGCGCCGAGAAACAGATTTCCAAACAAATATTGCGCCCGCTGTATATAATTACCGTTTGTGTACGCAATCACGAAATTAACCGGGTATGTGCGCCATCGCTTTATCGCATGACCTGCCTGTGTGCTTGTACCTGCCTTGCTTTTGTCAGGTTCTTCCATGCATGCAATGATTACAGTCGCGTACGTTAGCGTACATGTAAACGCAGTAGGCTCTCCGCCCCCTCTCATCGGCGTATACAGCCGAGAAGCGACAAACACCGTTTGT